TCCAGATCAGGCACTTTTAAGTTGTTTTTTTCATATTGGCAACCTGACTACTATATTAAACCTGACTACCTGTACTTTTAACAAATATAGTACATGTGATTGAAGCCGCTTGTGCAGAGCTAATGTAGTATGTTTACTGAGATGCTATATTAGAGATTCAGCCCACAACCTCACTGACGTGAGGCAAACATAACCATTGGACCATATGCCCAGGTCTTACATGGCACATTAACAGTAATAGAAGTATTGAATTAAAGAAGCTCAATTTAGAAGATAGTTTCTGTCTTTCTTGCTTTGCAGGATGTTACTCCTGAAAACTTCTTGAATATTTTGCAAGGTAATGCTGCAGCAATGCAAGGTATTGGTAGCGGCAAAGTTATCGCGAGGTGAGAATTACTGTCAACAATGCATTATATACCGGTATATATACCTAAATTGATGTGACTTTGTTATGATGGTGGTCTAAGTTAGGGAAGGATAAATATGTTTTATTTAACATTACTGAGTGAACAAAAATCTAGCTACAGTAAATTTAAATACTGTCATTCATTAAAATTAAATAAAAAATTTTAAAAAAAAGAGAAAAAACGAAAATCTGTCACTAAAAAATGTCTCCACTCGACATACCACCGCCGCCCAGCCACACACATACATGTATACCAGTATATATATCTTGAAGCACTTTAGATTTCAATGGTCCGATGCAAATGGTGCTAAACACAATTACTTGGAAAAGAAGCCAGATTATATTGTAAATATTCAACATCTACAGTTATACTTGTATAATTGGTTTCAATCTTGGCTGAGATTGTCTGATATTAGGTGACCAGTCTCTTTGTTTTGGGACAATCCCACCTCCCCCTCTCAATTTATGTATTCTTAGTAATTATATAGTGAGATGTATACTATGGTTTTCTACAGCGGTCCTAATGATCATGTATTTGTGAATTTTGTTGACCATGGTGCACCGGGTATTGTGGCATTTCCAGCGGGAGGCGAGGTACGTCATCAATCCAATATTGTACATTACTTGATTTTAAAAATTTGTTTTTTTCACCAAAAGAATTTAATCCAGCAAAAATATAATCCACCAACACCATACATTGCATTTTGCATGAAATACCACAAATTGGTGTAAATAATTTACAAACAATCACACCAAAATTCTGTATTAGCCTGAAACATTAAACATGTTCTAATTTAACTTGACTTTTCTGAATATGTCAAGTTGGTATGACTTTTAGGAAAAGCCATATTTTAAGAGCATATGTGTACACATGTATATAATGTTGGTTTTCAGATCCGAATGCTTGAAATTATCGGTAATCTGTTGTGGTCTGAACATATGTTTTGAAGCCCATTCATTTTATCTGCTTAAATTTAAGCTTTTGAAAAAAAAAGATGTTTATTGCTACATGTTTTGCATACTTAAACACAAAATGGATTTGCATTGTTTAGCAGTGCTCTTTTTATTTTTGTATTTTATAGGTTACATGTACCAGTATGTCTGAGGTGTAGACAAACTATAGTACCGGTACATGTACTTGCCAATTTAAAACTGATTGGGATTATAGATGTTCAACATACTGAATAAACTCTCTGGTTATTGATGCCATATTCCCATCATGCACCATGTTACATGCACTAGCTAAAATCACCAAAATTAAAATAATTTTATTTGTAAGTCTGCACAAACTAGAAGCAATGTCGCATTTTGTTTGTTTGGTCCAAAATTAAGATTGAATTCAGTGAAAATTACAGAAAATGTGAAGAATTAACCCCATTTTGAGCAGGAAAAAAAATTAAGCCCTGGAAGGGTTAAATATAAAGGATATATTTACTAATGGTTGGTTAATTTCTTATGTTTGAATTTCAGCTACATGCTAATGATTTAAATGATGCTATTAATAGTATGAACCAACAACAGAAATATGCCAAGGTAGGTTGGATATCAGTCATTCTCAAATAATCAAATATTTTGTTAATCCCTTAAATTATGTCTAGAGACAAACTTTCCCATTTTGAGTGAGTTCTAGAATGCCATTAAATTTTATTCACAACACCGTTATGTGATTGAACCATGAATGTCAATAGTAGTGACTGTGAAATAGCCATGTATTCATCATCAGTGAATAAGCGATAAGGAACTTATTTAGAAATTATTTTAGCATATTAATCTTAATTTTATTTTTCAACACATAGACTAGTTTTTTTTTTTACAAACACTTATATATTTGTATTGTATTACTGCATATAAAACAGGAATCATAAATTAATCATTAAATATTAATTATAGATGGTGTTTTACATTGAAGCCTGTGAATCTGGTTCGATGTTTGAGGGCCTATTAACCGATAACATCAATGTGTTCGCCACAACCGCTTCCAATGCACAGGAGTCATCATATGCTTGTTACTTTGACGATGAGAGGCAAACCTATTTAGGTGATGTTTATAGTGTGAAGTGGATGGAAGATTCTGACATGGTAAGTTTTCACTGTGGTATAGTATTTAATTTATACTTTTCATGTAATAATTAATTTAGGGAATCCATGTTGTTTTTCCAATTGCAATACTTTCAAGCAAATATTAAAAGCACATTTAGCCAACT